TTACTACATTAAAATGCTGTCCTCCACAACTCCATCTGATATTATTAGAAACAGTTATTTGCGTCTTGCTGTCATATTAGTAGCAGCAGCAAATTATGGAAATATGCAGACCAGAATGGTCCCAGTATGAGTTCAGGTTTGGTTTCCGGCCTCCAAGGGAACAAATGCTGAAAATTCCAAAGTTCCCCAAAGTTCATTAATGGAACTGATAAATTTACCAGCACAGCAGCTATTTACATGCTAGGTAAGGGTCACACATTTGCATATTTTCCTGCTAAGCTGATACAATTCAACTAGATAAATTATCATATTAAGTTTGCCCTCCTGAGTTAAACTGATGGAGTTCAAAATTGTTTCCAATGGTTGTCATTAATCGCTGTTACATCTGAAATGCTTCCTTTGAAATCTAATTGTGATATGGTGTCAAGGGTTATATTAATAGCATTCAAGATGTTAAAATATTGTAAAAACCTGCTTATTTTACTTGTATCATTGAAGCGCTTTAGAGTAATGAGAAATAATATCTCATCTTTATATATTTTAAAAAATATTGTCAATAAAAAGAAAATTTAATTTAAAATATGAGATTTAAATTAGGTTTAACCTCCTCATTTGATTTTGTATCCCTGAGATTCAGAGTAGAAGCGTATAATAATAATAATAAAAGGGAATCCACCAGTTACATTCTAAATATGCCAGTTATTTTACCATCCCCAACAACAGAAGTTGAAATTCAAATATACTCTTAAACATAATATTACATATATATTATGTAATAATATACATGAGAGAATCATGCATATCTTCAACATGCATACAATGAGCCAATCTGTCTTATTATTTATATGACATACAAGTAAATGTGACAAAACCTGATTATCACTTCTAGATTAACTGGATACAGAATACAGGAGCAAAAAGCAACCAGTCATTTCCCTGTTTTCTTCCTGAAATTCTTCCAAACTGTTTATTCCCAGCCTGTTTTCAGAGGCGCCCTATAAAAAGCCTTCTACCTCATTTGAAGAGAACAGCAGAGAAAAAGTGGCAAATGAGAACATCAGGAATTCACATCTAAAGGTTGTGGCTCCCTAGCTGAAACCAGAATTTTGAGTATTGCTAAGCTGATGAATTCATTTTCCATCTGCTTCTTGTTCCTGGCAAAGACATAACAGTTCTATGAACAAGCAACTATCTCATATTCTTTGAATTATTATATATGTTACAGACTGTTGTTTTGAAACATATTCCCTAACTTTTATCATTTGATATGTATGTGCCCATGGCTGAGACAGTGATTTGCAGTTACATGTTATTGCCAGTGATGATATAGTTATTGGTGGATAGAAAGATATATGGTGTGTTGGCAAAGAAAGCTGTTTTGTCAGAAGTTGTGGCTTTAGGTCTATGTTTGTGGAGTATGATGGGATTTAATGCTTTCATAATGGAAAAATGTTAGGGAGATTACAAGTTTTCTTAAGAGGTCTGTGATGTATCTTATGTAAGTGACATAAGTTTTGAGGACATTCCATAAAAACCGATATTCTAATTGTTACAATGATTAAGACAAAAAAACAGCCCAGTTTAGGAGTTTCTGAGAAAGAATATAATATCATTTTAGTCTAGCCTTAAGACTAGCACTGATGGTGTTACCTAGTTTGGATAATGTGCCAGAAAACAAGCAAGTCATAAAGCACCAGGGACCCCTCATTTCAACCTTTACAAATATTCTGCCTTATTGGCAACATCTTCTTTGGCTGCAGTCAGTGCAATAGGTAAATTGTGGAGGATTCTTCATACTCAGTCCTTTAGAAATGATGTCATAGTTTTTCATTTAATTTAGAATTATGCCTGTTTATATGTGGGCTAATTCTTCACCAGTGCTTCTTGTTGTAGATACAGGAGGAGGAGGAAGAGGAGGAGGGACGGGAGAGGGAGGGGGAGGGAGGGGGAAGAGGACTGTATTATTATGCATGACTATCTGTTCTTGCAGATATTAGCAAAATTGTATGTTATGGACTTAAAAAGTCTTGAAATTTGTTCTGTCACATCTTTGATCCTTGTTTCTGGCAGACAGCCACTTCACAAGCTGACATGGCTAGACAGCATACATTTGTTTGAATTTGTCATAGTAGTGAGTCACCAATTATCACGACTCTCTTCTTTCTCTTCTTAGAGGGCAAAGATGCATCCTGTCTTCTCTTGAAGGATCTACTACTGTTATGTTTCTGTTCTGCAGTGTCTCTTTTCTTTCCTTGAATGATCCATACAGCCCATTTTATCTGCAAGGCTCCAAATCTATTTATTATTTCTAGCAGAATCTTCTATGTCTCTTGCTTTCGATTGTTGATCTTATTCCTGTATTTGTCTTCCTTATAAAAAGCTGTTTCCGCTGCTGGTTTCTGTTGTTTCTGTCCTGTCTTTGGGCTGATAAAATGTCTTTTCTCATCATCTGAAATGTGGCCATGCACTACTGCAATCCTTTCACTTTTTCTTGAAGGACAGCATTTGGTACAAGTATATGCTGTGCTTTTCAGTCACAAAGACAAACTTACCACATAGTTACAGACGCATATCTGTTCTTCACTTTTTCTTCTCAGAGACTACCAGTAGAAAAGGGTTATATTTCTTCTTGTTCTTTTCTCAGTTCTCAGGACCCTTTAAACTCTTTAACCCTTTAAAACCTGCCTTCCTTACATAAGCCTAACAACTCTGCATACTCAGCAGAAAGCAGGTAGACAACCACCCGAAACTTTTAAAATCTGGAGCTATTCAGAAGATTATCCTTTCATCCCATGCACTTTGATAAATAATTCCTCAAAATACACAGCTTGTCATTTTTCTTCTTCCTGTTTACTCTTCTACTTTCAATTGATCTTGTTTTTGTTCTTAATATCATCTGCATTTTGGGTTTCAATTTTTTCTGATACTATCATAACAAATTGGTACTACCTAGAAATGTTTGTGATGGTTCTTTTTATCATCTGCTGTGATCCATTTTGGAGTTTTCACTATTAGTTTGTTGTTTCAAAAATTTCTATTTATCACTATTCTGGGTTTAAAGGTTTATTATAGTCCAAGATGACTAAACTCGGATTTAATTTTTGCTATTATTTAGATTCTAGCTTTATGTGGCAACTGTTTTTCTAGATTTCCCGCTTTTACTTTGACATGACAATGGTAGATAGAAATTCATTTCATACACACACACACACACACGCACAATAAAGGCATGCACAAAAAGTCTCTTGTTTGATTGTGATTCTGTTGGAAAATAGGAATGTGCTTCCTCTCAGCTGAGAATTCAAGTCAGACAAAGGCCAGTTGAAATTCAGAATTACAGAAGGAACATTGGAGGCTCTAATCCAACCCTTTATTCAAGCAGGAGATTCTATACCATTTCAGACAATTGGCTTTCCAATCTCTTCTTAAAAACCTCCGGTGATGGAGCATCCATAACTTCTGGAGGCAAGCTGTTCCACTGATTAATTGTCCTAGCTGTCAGGAAATTTCTCCTTATTTCTAAACAATAGGTTGGATTAGGGGTTCGCTGCTGGGGGTTCACATGGGTTTGGGAGCTCCTCTACCTAAGATTCTGCACAGTTTGGAGAACCCCAAATCCCACTTCTGGCTGGCCCCTCCCACCCCACCCCACCCCTCCCAGGAGTCCCCACGCCAGAGGTGCTATTCAGCAGGTTCTAATCTAACCAGTTCTGGAGAACCAGTAGCGGAAATTTTGAGTAGTTCAGAGAACCGGCAAATACCACCTCTGACTGGAGATTTTACAGTATCCTTCCCCTGCCACGCCCAAGCCACACCTACAGAACTGATAGTAAACAATTTGAATCCCACCACTGCGGCCCACGCGGTCCGTTTTGGATGCAGGTAAGTGCAGAGCGCGTGCAGAGGCTCGGGGAGGGCAAAAAACAGGCCTCCCAGAAGTTAAGGAAGGCCGGAAACAAGCCAATTTCCAGCTTCCAGAGAGCCTCTGGAACCCAGGCAAGCCATTTTCGCCCTCCCAGAGTCTCGAGGAAAGCTTCCGGAGCCCAGGGAGGACAAACCCCCCCCCCTTTGCCATGATGCAGGAGGCTGACTAGGATATGGCTACTATGGCCACGCTCACCCAATAACTGGGAAGAGAATGTATTGCTAAAATTTTTGAAGCCCACCCCTGAGTTGGATCTGTCCTTGATTACTTTCCATCCATTGCCTTTTATCCCCCATCAGATGCTTTGGAGAATGGGTTGACCTTCTCTTCTTCGTGGTAGCCCTTTAGTTAACCAAAGATTGCTATCATGTCACCCCTATTATTATGAGCTTATTTTCTGGAATGTTAGCTATTCCTGCCAGCTTGGTGTCATCTGTAAATTTGATGAGTTCCTCTTCTATCCTTCATCTAAATTGTTTATGAAGATGTTGCCTTCATAAAATTTGCCTAAAATTTGTGTTGCTAAGTGAGACATTTTAAAATGAATTTTGCCCATGTTATGATCTTACTTGCCACAGTTGTTAAGTGAATCACTGCAGTTATTAAGCTAGGATTCTGCAACAGTCATAAATGTGAAAAATGGTCATGTCACTTTTTTCAGTGCCGTTGTAACTTCGGTCACTAACAAACTGTTGTAATTTGAGAACTACCTGTAATTTTGCTTGACTCTAAATGTTTGCAGATTCATTGCTTAATTATCAGCCAGTGAACTGTGTAGCTCCTCCCCAGATGCATAGTTCATTCCCTTAGCCATCTTATATAACCATCTGAGGGAAGGAGGGAGGAGGAGAGACAGAGATAACCATACAGGTGTTATTAAGTTTAAGCAAAGATGGGAAAGAAAAAATATTCAAAATATGGGGGGGGGGGCATTTTTCCTCCTTTTAATCAAAATACAAATCTTCATATAACTAAAAAATACAGAAATATGAAATGAATACCGTACCTTAAATTTGTATAAAATGTGAAATGAAAACTGTATGTTATTTTTTTTTATAAAATGTCTATTACTCACCACTGTTCCAAGAAACTGAATGCTAAGATTTCCACCAGCATCACGAGAAAGGCACTGGAAGGAACAGAATAACAATTAGAATACAGTCTTATCAACAAGAAATATTCTGCCTAAGAATTCTGAAGAAAATTGCTTATGACACTGGAGACATATACTCATGGTTAAAGCAGAAATGCATGTGACACAAGAAAATAACAGTCATATTAATGTTTGATAGTATTTAGTTTTCACAGCTGAATGGAATGGGCACTGGATTCAGTACCTTTCAGATTGTTTGACTGTATTCAGTCAAACGATCAGAATTGACTATAATCAATTCTCTTTCCATCATTAACTGATCAAATAGGATAGAAATCTTAAACGTCCAAATATACTGTCAGAGACTCTTACTAATTTTTTTCTATTTGTCTTGTATTTTTGTAAATCTTGTCTATTTATCTTGTTTCCACTTACATAGAGCTCTGCAACAAATTTATTTGAGCTCAAAACAGTGTGTTAATTTTTGGCCTATGCAATAGATCTTAATCTCCATTTGACCATAAAATGTACTTAATGATTTGGGACATTGTATGAGAAGAGCTATGTTATTCTATGGCGATAAAAAATATATCAGAAGGCATCTGGTAGCATCTTTTCCAACTCCCAAATTTAATTAAAAGGCATATGCTTTTAGAGAGCTACAGCTTGCCTCAGCAGATGCACAGATTTGGGGTAAGTGACCGTTAGGCCACTTCTACCATTTTCATCCCCAAGACTCTCACAAGCCCTTTGATGGTGATTCAGTACTGTCTTTGCTTATGTTTGTGTGAAATGCTACAACTCTTAAAGGATCAAATACTGCTTCACCTGCAATAGAAGAAAATACACGTAGCTCAGGGTTGAACTGTAGTGTCCTTGGTGCTCTCTGAGCTTGGATTTTTGTTTGCAGACATTTCATTACTCAACTAAGTAACAGCATCAGTATAAATAAGTTTGGGGTTTGTTCTCTGTTTACATATGATAACTTCTCCTGCCAATATTAATGGGAGTGTGGTTTTCTTCTCAGTAGTTCCTTGATTAGGATATTGTTTTCTGCTTAATTAGGTAAAGGTAAAGATTCCCCTCGCACATACGTGCTAGTTGTTTCGGCTCTAGGGGGTGGTGCTCATCTCCGTTACAAAGCCGAAGAGACAGTGCTGTCCAAAGTCGTCTCCGTGGTCATGTGGCCGGCATGACTAAATGCCAAAGGTGCACAGAACTCTGTTACCTTCCCACCCAAAGTAGTGCCTATTTTTCTACTTTCGAACTGCTAGGTTGGCAGAAGCTGGGACAAGTAATGGGAGCTCACTCCGTTACGCGGTGCTAGGAATTTGAACTGCTAAACTGCCAAGGTTTCTGGTGTTCCTGGAAGCACTCTGCTAGTCTTCTGCCTGTCTGTTCTATATAGTGGCTGTTACCATCCTTACATTATATGTTATAGATGAATCCTGTTTTTTTTCTTTTTCGACTAAGGAGTCTTATAAATGACTCCTTAGTCTTGGACTAAGTAGTCTTGTAAATGACTTCTATTTTTCTTCTCATGCTTAAGAAGAGTAATTCATAACATATAATGACAAAGAATCAGGTAGAAAACAATACCCTAATGAAAGAACTACCAAGGAGAAGATTAAAATTGGGAAGCCAGACTAAAATCAGGAAACCATAAGTTCTAGTTCTGCCTCAGTCAAAAAAGCCAGGTGGGCACCTTTTCTCAGCCCTAGGAAGAAGGCAAAGGCAAATCACTTCCACAAATCTTGCTAAGAAAACTATAAGGGCTTGTTCAAGCAGTTGCCAAGAATCAACTGCTACTAACTTGAAGACATAACAAATAAACAAACAATCAAACAAATCAGATTTACCCTTTATCTTTGCTTAGTTTGGTCAAAATAGCTATTTTACATTCCATGGAATAAGTAGGATAACATAGGTACTTAATAAGAATATACATATTCATAGAGTTATATACTGTGTGTGTGTGTGTGTGTGTGTGTGTGTGTGTGTGTGTATGTATGTATGTATGTATGTATGTATGTATGTATGTATGTATGGTATTCAGCTTTGTTCAGGTATTTTCCCACGTCATTGTAGTTGTGCTTTTAAAGTTGTAGCAATGTTTCGGCAGAATCTCATCTGCCATCATCAGGCTTCTGTATGATGATGGCAGATGAGATTCTGCCGAAACGTTGCTATTGCTACAACTTTAAAAGCACAACTACAATGACGTGGGAAAATACCCGAACAAAGCTGAATACCATACATGTAAGTACCCGTGAAAACTTAAGAATGAAAATACACACACACACACACACACACACACACACACACACACACACACATATACATATACATACACATTTTCTGAGGTTCTCGTGGGTATTTGTATGTGGATCTTTGGTTATTCGGGTTTTCTCCCGCGTAAGATTGGAAGTATCTAGGCAACGTTTCATCATCTTCAGGCTTGTGTCTTCGGCTCTGTGCTTCTCAGAGTGATGTGAGCTTGCAGCTGCTTCTTCCTTTTAACTGCTAGTGGGGGTGTGACTTGATTGGGTAGGGGCTTGGCTGTGTTCTGATTGGTCCAACCAATCTTCCAATCTTACGCGGGAGAAAACCCGAATAACCAAAGATCCATATAGATAGATAGATAGATAGATAGATAGATAGATAGATAGATAGATAGATAGATAGACTATACCATACCATACCATACCATACCATACCATACCATACCATACCATACCATACTATACTAATACTATACACCAGTGTTGGCAAACCTTTTCAGCACCGAGTGCTGAAACGGGACTGCACGTATATGGGGGAGCACAGGAAACTGGAAGAGCAGCTACCTGGCAGGAGCACCGGAAACCAGAAGGGCAGCTTCCACTTTCAGCCACTTGGTCTTCCAGTTTCTGGCATGCATGCAGGTGCGAAGACCAGCTGGCCGATACGCATGTGCACACTGGAACCCGGAAGAACAATGGGAGACGGTTGGCGTGCCTGGAGAGATGGTTCTGGTGTGCCACTTCCGGCACGTATGCCATAGGTTCGCAATCACAGCTATATACTTTAAAATAATTTTGTCATATTACCTAATTTTTAAAAGCTTCATGAAAGGAATAATTATTGGAAGCATTTCCCTTTTAAACAATTATGGCTGCATTTTAAATAAAAACATCAATATTGCCTTTTCTTTTTTTCTTTCCCTTCAATTAATATATCATGTTTTAGCCTTCCAGTCTGTTCGTAGGAAAACAAAGCAGAATGAAACAAGTCTGGACATATTTCAACAAAAATGATAAACAAAATGGAAAATATGGGAAAAATCATACAAAAATCCTGACATTTACATTTGTAAAGGAAACAGGAATATACAGTTTTCCCAACTGCTGGAGGAAACACAATCACACTTCGGAAACTGTAAAGAAGAACAAAGTACCAGGGCCTACAATGAAGAATTTAGGTGCCAAAACAAACAGATACAAATTAATCAGGAGGTTGTGAAAGCTAGTTAACTGAAGAATATTCTTTAATTTTTTTAAAAAAAAAGGAGTGCTCTTCATCTTTATAGCTTTTACATTAGAGAACAACACATTTCAGTACCTGAAAAATATCCACTACATGAATAGTTGATATGGGAAGAAAGGTGAAAGTGATATCAAGATCATACAGGTGTTTTATTTATCAGTATGTAAGAATAAAGGTCAGAACCTGAATATTGTATGTAAGTACAATAATTTCATAGTTTCTGACTCAGATTCCATCAAGGTGAAATACTGTGTATGTCCAGATTCCAAACTTTTTAATCTAAAAGGATGAATCATACCTATTTTTAATTAAGACCAATCTTTATTATTTTTACCCAGAAGAAATAGTATAAGTACATGATATAGCAGGATATAGATTGCAAAATGCATCTGAATGTAATGTTTTTTTCTTTTAAAACAGAATGTATATAGTCCTTTTAAAGGTAAATAAATTATAAAAATTATTTATTTATTAAATATACTTTATGCCATCACAATAATAAACTTTCGTAGGAAAAAGTACAATAATACCCAATACAAAAAATGTTGTTTGCCACCCTTCTCACTGCAACACAATATGCTACACAATTTTTCAGTAAGAAGCAAATTGGGGTTTAATTTCCAATATGGAGTGTATGAAATCAATAGGTTCAGTGGTCTTACAGTATAAAAACAGGTAAATGCTTAGATTTAAATAGTTTTTCCAGCCAGCCTCCATTTATGCGAAGTTGCTCAATATTTTTGGGAAGAATATTCTGAAAGTGTCTTACACCCTCTCAATGCATTTTTGAAAGTGCATTTTTCTAGAACTTCAGAAAAGTATCCTTTTTTCCACAAGTTCCATATTACACCAAATGTTTTAAAAACTCATTGTGTTGCAATTGTTATCTGTACATTGTGCAAGTTATTGTAGGTAGAACAATTGAACATTAGACAAAAATGAGATAAGGCAGTTATAATTTTACTTTGGACATTGACACAAAGAGAGAAGCAGAGATTGTGAATTGTCATATTTAATTCTGCAGCTACATCATCTTAGAACTTAGAATACTGCCCAAGTGGGCAGTATTTGCCGAACAGCTAAAGGGCATATTTGGAAGTTAAATAATTATTCCATTGAGCAGGTTAAATCATTTAAATCCCCAGGTATAGTCCTTTCATGTGAAATATCCAGGGAATATGTAGCACAAAAGCCCAGAGAGCTACAGCAGCACTGCAATCATCCTAAACTAAAGGGGCCTTATTTATCTCTGCTGCACGCCAACTATACTTAGCCAAAGTTAGAGCAGAGCTGTTATTCAGAGTCCAGTTTACCCATACAGCTTTTTCTTTCCTTTAGAACATGTTCAGACAAAACCTCTTAGGTACGTACTCCAAGCTCCTTTCTGAGCAGAATCCACTCTGAAGCAGAATTCTGACCAACATTTGGTTGCACATTTTATATGCAGAGCTACAATATTTCTTAACCCTATATGTCTGACACCTCAAATCCTTAACAATAATGTTGTTTCATTCTGGTCTAAAGCAATAGATTAAAAATTGGAGATCCTTTGATATTCTTTAACTCAGCTCTGTGCAGTTGAACATGAGCACTCAAGCAGCTTTAAGGCAATGGCTTAAAGATATTCATTTGGATTTGATATTTCTTCTCAAGAATACATTTCCAACTAGCTCCTTCACCCTCTATCAGGGGTGGGCTGCTACGGGTTTGCCCGGGTTCAAGCGGACCTATTGCTAACATTATGGCTGGTTCAGTGAACTGCCAAATTCCACCCCTGGCTGACCCCGCCCCACCCCACCCACCCCTCCAGGAGTCTCCATGCAGCCCATTTTGGAGGCAAGGTAAGTGCAGGGCCCACGCGGAGGCTCGGGGAGGGGGAAAAACGGGCCTCCCAGAAGTTCTAGAAGTCCAGAAACGGACTCGTTTCCAGCCTCCGGAGGGCATCCGGAGCTTGGGGAGGCTGTTTTTGTCCTCCCAGAGGCTTAAGCCTCCAGAGCCTAGGGAAGGCAAAAATGCCCCCCCCCCCCGCCGCCGTGGTGCAGGAGGCCAACTTGGCCATGCCCACCATGGCCACACCCAACCAGCAACCGGGCAGCAAACCCATTGCTGCAATTTTTGAAGCCCACCCCTGCCATCTATGGACCTGCCATATGGATAGGCAATCTCAATCCCTAAATATACAGTTGGGAGGACATTCTCCTTGGCCCGATTCAAAGCGAGAAGAACTCTGATGCTTGGGTAAAACTAGCCATACATAAACTACTCTAAAGCTTAACTAATTGCTCACAAACAGAAAAAACAGCATTAAAATGAAGATGATTAAAACTATTTTTTTAATGTTACTTTTATGCTTTCGCTTAGGAAGAAAGATCTCCTTGTTTTATTCATGGCAATTTGATAAAATAAGCTGCAGCTCACAAAACATATGCTTTAAAAACATTGTTAGAAGCACCTCCTGATTCTCTGTCACAGTAGACCAATGCAGTTTTCCTCCTATAATGCCTAATCACATATGTACATTGTTTAAAATCTTTCCTGATGTTAAGTACTTACACCTCGAGAAATCTTGTGAATCATTGTGTCTGGCATTGTCTCTCTGATTGCCTTGGCTGGCAAAATCTCATCAGGATGTTTCTTTTGTCATTGTTTCTTAGATTTCCTGAAGTTTATCTTTGTACAAGGAATGTATAAAAAGCTCTAACAGTGTACAGGAGAGTGGGTAAAGGTAACAAGGTAAAAAGAGATATACATGCTACATGTTCTCCAATTCTGAAATTTAAAATAAATTATTAATTTCATCTTGTCTCTAGGTTTCAATACTGGACATAGTATTGAGACAGCCTTGAACATGTTTGTTGATGACCTATGATATATCCAGGATAGATATTTGTCATTGAACTACTTAATTTCTTGGTAACCTTCAATACCACTGATTGGGACAGTGTGTTGGATTTCCTCCTGAACCATGTCAGGGAATTGGGAGCTAGGTTCACAGTAGTTTTCTCCCTTCCTTCAGATATTTTCAGCTGGTGTTCATGGAAGGAAAGATCTAGATCTAACCTTTGTAGGGGATCTCAGGATTTGATTCTCTCCTAATTCTTATTTAATATCTACATGAAACTGTTTGCATGAAGTCATCATCAGAATGCGGATAAGTATTATCTTACATTGATGATGCCAGTTACATATCTCAATTTTAGACCAACTAAGCAATGTCACCAAAGTTTAATATCTAGATACTAGGAGAACCTGGAGGGAAAGTAACAGACTAAGTAAGGCTCAACCTCTAGCAAGACTGAGGCCCCATTCATGATTACTCCTGCATTAGCCATTTCAACTATTACAATGTGTTTTACATCGAGTTGCTCTTTAAGATAACTAAATTCTTATAACTACAAGTAGTCCTTGATTGGTCATTTAATGACCATTTGAAGGTATGAAGGCCTTGGAAAGGGTGTTTTACAGCTTTGCATTTCTTCATTGCCAGATACAAATTAAACATGTGCAGTTATAATCTAACTTCCCAGATTTATAACACTAACTTCCCAGATTTAAAATGGTGTAGTGATTTTAAAAAACAATAGTAACAAAATATTTTTACCTGCACAGTTCTATGAACATCATCCACTTGAAGAGATAACACAGCTGAAGCCAAATTCCATTCACCGGTCACACAACATTTTCTCCCATTGACTTCCACCTGTTGTGACATAAGGATATTATGACCATAAATTCAGACAAGAAGCAAAACTCAAGTTCATCATGGCGTGCAAAAGAGGAAGCAGCACAGTTTCTGCCATAAAAGGTAGGGTTTGTCAACAGTCTTTTTAGCATTGCTGAGGAAAAGTGAAACACATTTACGGAAGCTACCTATGGAAAGTGTTAATTTGTACAGTCGAGTCAGAGGCTGAACCTGAGCAACCAAATTCAGCAGGCCACCAGCTTCATGAGTTAGCAGAAAATTGCCCCTTGGGATGGACTCAGCCGGTACAGGAGGAATCAGGCAATTAGGGGCCTGCCAGAGTACCAGGATGCGTCGACAGCTTCAGAGAGCCAAACAAAAGCACCCTGCTCATGTCCTCTCCTCGTTCTTATTTAATATTTACATCTGCATCAAGTCATCCGTCAGAATGTGGTTAGGCATTATACCTAACAAAGGTTCCAACACCCCAAACTAAGCCGTATCTGTACCTGTTCTACTTAAAAGCAGCTTGCAGTGGTCTATCCTTCATTGAAAACCACATGCCAACCTAAAATCTGCTCCTTGACTCTTGGACCAGTTGAGTAACCCTGGTATTCAACTCTTGGATTGTTGTGGGTTACGTATATATTTTTAAAATGCATGATCCATTTGATTCTGGGCTAAAATCTCCAATCATTCAGCTCCCAGGAAAGCTTCACTCTCCCAAGGTTTAGAGAATTGTCTCTATTATTTAGAAAACAACATGAATTTTTCAAATGTTCAAATGTTGGTATTAAAAGATTAATTTAGCCAGAACAAAATTTATTGAGCTTAAAAGCTGTAAAAGCGAGCAAGTCGCATTATGTAGTTTAAATACAAATTAACAAAAAGTCTGTAGAATTTGCAAAAAATAAGCACAGGAAGCAACTGGCAAGCTACTGTATTGTAGTTCTTGGAAACTGTCTGCTATTGAGGTGGGTACATGTTGTAGAATATTTATTAACCAACCATGATATGAGACCATCTACTAGGACATCAAGGGAACCAATTCGTCAGAAGAAATTGCCAAGTGAGAGAAAATAGGAAGCCAATCAGATGAAGACAGAACCAACAACCTGAATGCATTCACTGAAAACACTCCATAACAAATGAACAGGATATGTATTATTAGGTCATTCCAGAAGTTAGACTGAGCAAATAAGAATACAAGTATTAGAAATCTATTTGTGGTCTTAATATAGTTGATATAGTTTGATTAAATAGAAATAATAAATAAACAGACTGCATTTAACTACTTTAGAACAATATATTATGAACACCTCCTTTTGTACATTTCTGACGGGCACTCGGATAATATCAACTTACAGAATTTAAATTCTTCCTGTAGCACACTCTCTGGGGTTTAACACAGTGGTGGGATTCAAACTTTTTTTCTACCAGTTCTGTGGGCGTGGCTTGGGGGGCATGGTGTGGCTTGGTGGACGTGGCAAGGGAAGGATACCGTAAAATTTCCATTCTCTCCCCACTCCTGGGGAAAGGTTACTGCAAAATCCCATTCCCTCCCCACCCCACCCCACTAACCTGCTTTACAACTCTGTTCTCCTGTGCAAGGGCAACAAAAGAAGACCCAACCAATCAGCTGGGACTCAGGATGCAGAGAATAGATGGGGGCGGGGCCAGTCTGAGGTGGTATTTGTTGATTCTCCAAGCTACTCAAAATTTCTGCTACCGGTTCTCCAGAACTGGTCAGAATCTCCTGAATATCACCTCTGGTTTAACACATTCTTTTTGTATCAGATTCAACTTTGAGAAATCTATCTTTGCCTCACTTCTTGAATAGACATTTGTTGCTAAAATGCTAGAAATAATAGTAATAATAGTATTTCTCTTTTTTAAAAGTTGTAATGCAAAGGCTCACATTTTCTAGATTGAAGGCATCTGACTGGTAAATGAATTATCAGACAATCTTATTATTTATATTTAAATGCAATTAAAATTTAAAAAGCATTAATACTTCTTTGCAATAATTATTTTTCTGTTACATTCTGAGGCCTGTTAAAATGGCTTTGGGAAGGCACAACACTGAATTAACAGTCCTTGTACTTTCCCTAGCATATGCTGCCCATCCTTGCTATTTAGTATAAATTAGCTTCAATTTGGATTTGCTATCTTACTTCGAAGTATCAAACATATAAATGTTGGAGTTGAATCTCTGAAAGAAAGTGAAATAACACTAAAAACATTACTTTTTATGGAAAAATCCATTATTCAATTAAATGTTCCAATTCATTCACAGGATACCAAGCTTAATAAGTATTCCCACCAGGAAAAAAAAGCTATGAACATTCTTGATAGGCTAAAATATGTTTTAAAAGGACTTTATGTCAAGGGTAACCTTGTAAAAAGTAAAATCACAATCATATCAAGGTTAACCCAATTAGTAATTTTTTAAAGGTAAAGGAAGTAGGTAATCCTAATCTGGTGCCAAATTCTTCCAGGGTGTGCACACCTTTTCCTCTGTACTTACGTAAGTTGGAAAACTGAATGTTCCAAATAGTTTATGGAAATTTTTTCACACTAGCTTTTTATCAATTCAATACACGAAAAATAAAACACATCAAAGTACCTACCATGAAACAATGAGGGAACAATATAAAATTAAGAGTTGCTGACCTGTTTTATCTGATACAAAAAGGAAAAATACCTATGGCAAATGACTTAAATCTAGTTAATCTTCCATTGTCAAAGACATGAAAGTAGAGGGCTGAAGGTTATTTACTCATTCAAAACACTCCCATTGTTCACACTACATTATTCTGAGAAATAGAAAGAAAAATTTTAATACATACAGTGAACAGATTCTATCCTGAACTACTAAAACAAACTGGCAATTGGTGATGTTACTGGTACTGGAATTTTAAGTGTTCTATAGGAAATGCTTCTTTCTGCTCGTACAAATTATATTCTGGGCAACCAGGAGAATCTTCCAAATGGAAACTTCTACTAGTAGAAAAAGCAAAAGCCACATCCTGGTGGCTTCAAGCTGCCACAGCAGTGCCATACCAGGCTGCATTTGTTGCCAGTTTGTGTCTTAGGCACTAGCTCTATTCTGTTCACAGCAAAGTTATCAATAAATTATCAGAAAACTAATATTTTAATTTCTGCCCAGCGTTGTTGTAAAATTCACAAATTGGAAATAAATTGGACACATATTGAGCAGGTGTGCACCTACAAATATCTTGTTTCCTTGTCACTCCATGTTTTCTTATCACGGAATACTCATACAGCATATATCTAAAGCTATCACAAGATTTTACCTTGTGTACCTTGTAGCACATTATTTCTCAGTAAAAGAAGCTCGACACAGAAATTCTACTTCCTAAAAAATTACACTGGAACACATTTGTATTTTGTTATCACACTAAAGTATGTTATTGTAGAAGTAGTAGCATCAATAAAAATTAATGCCACTCAAACATTTAATATGGCCCCCTTAAATGGGCATTGTTTTAATTATGAAGTCAGACCCTGCACTTTGTGTAATTTATATTCCCAACTGCATTCAAATGACCATAAAACTATTACATTTATGCTAATCATACTCTTGGTATTTACTCTATAATTTGACCCTTTTGCTTTCATCACATATGCTAATTACTCACACTTCTTTTGAACTAGCCTATTTGTTCTTTTTCTTTTCAAGTCCTGTTGATACAGAACTATTATCTCCATGCTTATTGCTAACTTTTCAGGACAGTATCTTACGATGTCTCTTTCTCTTTGTTTCTACAGAACAGGTAATTCCTGACGTACGATCACAATTGAACTCAAAAGTTTTGTTGCTAAGTGAGACATTTGTTAAGAGAGTTCTATTCCATTTCACAACTTTTCTTGCCACAGTTAAGTGAGTCACTGCAGATGTTCAGTTAGTAACACAGTTGTAAAATGAATTTCACTTACCCATTGACTTTGCTTGTCAGAAAGTTGTAAAAGGAGATTACATGACCCCCAACCCCCAACCCCCGGACATTGTAACCACCATAAATATGAGTCATTTGACAAGTGTCTGAATTTTGATCAGAAGACCATGGGGGTGCTGAAAAGGTTGTGTGAAAAATGATCATACGTCACTTTTTTCCAGTGCTGTTTTAACTTTGAAGGTCACTAAATGGACTGTTGTAAATTGAGGACTACCTGTAATTATGATAATTAAAGATACAGATAACAGATAATCAGAATTGGAAGGAACCTTGTAGGTCAAGCAGGAGACCCTACACCATTTCTGACAGATGGGAGTCCAACCTCTTCTTGAAAGTCTCAAGTGATGAAGCTCCCACAACTTCCGAGGGCAAGCTGTTCCATTAGTTGATTGTTCTCACTGTCAGAAAGTTTCTCCTTATTTCCAAGTTAAATCTATCCTTGTTCAGTTTTCATCCATTATTCCTTGTCTGGCCTTCATGGGCTTTGGAAAATAGCTTGATCCCTTCTTCTCTGTGGCAGCCCCTCAAATATTGGAACACTGCTTTCATGTCTCCCCTGGTCCTTCTCTTCCCTAGACTAGCCATGCCCAGTTCCTGTAACCATTCTTCATATGTTTTAGCCTCCAGTCCCCTAATCATCCTGGTTGCTCTTCTCTGTACTTTTTCTAGAGTCTCAACATCTTTTTTATAATGTGGTGACCACAACTCGATGCAGGTGTGGTCTTGCTTACAGAGTAAGTAGGTGTGGATACCTTACAGAGTTTTTTTAGTGCTTGTGTTTATTACAATTATGTAACTGAATCTTCTTTAACACATATTTTGTTTCCTAGTTAATATTTGACCAAAATTGAATACAGGTAGTCCTTGCTTACTGACTACCACATTTAACAATTGATCAAAGCATTTTAAAAAAGCAGAGTTATGACCAGTCCTCGGAGTTGCAGGGGTTGGAGCATTCGTACAGTCATAGGAGAGCAATTTGAGTGCTTGGAAAACAGGGTACCTTTTTGATGATCATAGCATCCCAGGGTCACATTA